CACTTAAACACACTCGAGATGCTCGAGTGCATTAACCGTAAATCTAAGATGAATATTTTACACGAAGCTAATTGCGCTTTTTTTTTTTTGCGAGTCTCCTGGGCGATTTAATGTTACGATATCCTCGAAATTGATAAATCGCGAACGACTAGAATTTTATATAATTTTTGCGACGACGCATAATTTTATATAATTTTTATAGAATTTTATATAATTTTTGCACGATCTTTAAGAAACTTGCATTATTTTTTTTAACTAAAACTCGCTCGAAAATTTCTTCTTCCCTTCGATAATTTCAAAGTAGTTTCTATACCAAAGTTTTCGGATTAATTACTAATTTATTATTTTCAGATTAATTATTAATCTATTATTTCCAGATTAGTTTTTAATTTATTATTCTTATAAATATAATTCAAAGATATTAATTTATTTTATTATTGGAAACTACTGAATTGATTTATTCTGGACTTTGTGATTTATCAGAGAGAGAAAGAAAGAGACGCTTGTATATAAAAATTTCAGATTAGATATTATATCTCTCACACACATATACATGTATGATATCTTTTATTATAAATTTCTTCCGTGTTTGTCAATGAAATGCATCTCGACGTAACATAAAATCAATAGATATACGCATTGAAGATACGTGATTATTTCTTTATTTATCCAGCGTTTATCTCTTCCCGACGACCCCTCCCGATAATAATGGCGATGGCGGCCATGAGAGTCGTCGTAAAAACGTCGGCATTGTGTCTTTCCCCAATCCTTTCTATTTCTCCTTTTTCTTTACTCTCTTGTCATATCGTAAAAGGAGATCGATACGCGTCTGGATGCGTATTTTTTTTTTGTCAAGATGAACCGCCATTATACAAATCTCGCTGCATATGAAGAGGGAGAAGTCTTATCATCATGAAAGACGTTATGAATAATATCATGAAGAGAGAATTCAATATTCTCTTCGAATGGAAAAATTTTAATGGAGAACGTCAACTATTGAATCTCCCTTTTTTGTTCTTATTAATCTATCAATATTTCATTTTATTTATTTTTATTTATTAATTCCAATAATTTAATTTTTAATTCAGTTCATTATAAGGTATTTTTACATGATGTCTTAATTGGATTCGTATTTTTTTCTCATATTATATAGAAAAAAACATATTTTTAGTAAAATAAGTCTATTATTGAGAAAATAATAATTAAAATTATAAATAATTATTATATTGTTTTTACGCTACTTTAAACAAATTGAAATTAAAACCTGTGATTATTATCTCCCAACGGATTCTTATTCTGATAAATATTTTTTTAAATCAATTTAGTCCGAGATTAACAAAAATTTCGTATTCTTAAAGCTCTCCACAGAAATTTATAACTTTAAATAATTCCTTTACCTAAATTAAATATTACATCATACTTATGAAAAAAAAGAAAAATTCCGTTCTCTAATACTCTTTAAAATTTACCTTTCAGCTGTTTGCACATTGTATAAATGCGCCCTAAAAGTACCACTAGTTTGCCTACGTGTTTTGCATGCATTCGTAGTCTTCGTCATCGAAAGCTATCGATGAAGATAAATGAAAAAAAAAGAAATGCTTGTTCTCACTTCTCGAAAAGCCGTGACTTATGCGTTTCCTTCGAATGTGGTGAATGGCCGCGGTTATAGAGGGAAAGAGAGAGAGAGAAAGAGAGAAAGATTGATTCCTTGGTCGAGGTGTTTACGAGTCACGATGTTCACTTGGCGTTGCCATAACGGTATTCCAACGCATCGATTTACACCTTGTTGGTGCGTGGAAAGTGCAACACGCACCGGTTTTCATTTTCATTCATTGCATCTCTCGATTTTCTTCCCGGAGACTCCCAAGAATTATTTTCTCTTTTTCTCTTTTTTTCAAATCAAAGGTGACATATTCACAAATTGGCGTTACAATCAAAATAAATTACTATTTTTATAATAAATAAACTGTCTTTATACATCATTCAATAAAAAAAATAATTAAAAAATAATTAAAAAAATAATTAATCGAATTTATAATCTGTAAATTATAAAACAGAAAAATCACAATGTGATTGCGGTTCTTAAACGTACGTGATTAAATTTAATCTTCTACTCTTCTAATCTATATTTTTAAATACAATAAGAAATTTTGTTTACGTCGTGATGACGAAAACTAGAAATATTTTTTATAATTTTCTATATCAAAATTAAATTTTATTAATTTCTTTGCGATTGTTATAAATGCTTCTCACATTTTAATAATACCTTTCCATGCTTTTCTCTTACATTTCTTTCTTCATTTTTATTTATTCAAATTTATATTATTTAGTGATTATTTTAATTATTTTTTTTATATTATTGTATTATATTTTATATTAAATTTATATTATTTAGTGATTATTTTAATTATTTTTGTATTGAATGATTTATAGAGACAATTTATTTGTTGAAAAAGTATTAATTTATTTTGAAATATTTTTTGAAAAGGATCTACAATAATTTATTTTTACTTTCATCGTGCAATTTATGTTATTTAATTTTGCAATCCTTTCCCGCGATTTCGTCGCGAGTAAAGTGGACGTCGGCGAGAAATTGGCGAGAAATTCGAGGCGGACGACGCGCGAAACGTTCGCAAGATTCTTCGGCTTCTCTTTCGCATTCGCAACGTCGACGTCGGCGGTTTCGCGGTAACGTCGAACCGCTCGTGACGATTCGTTGCGGCGATATCGTTCGCATTCCACGGGGTGCACGTCACCTCGCCGAGCCGATCGCACGAGGAGTCGTGTTCTCGAAAGTCATGGAAAATTGCTTGGACTGAACCACACAATGTAATCTATGTAACCACCTGTGAGGATGCGACTGAATATACGGTCGAGAAACGAGGAGTATTGATCTCTCCTGTCGTTCGCTTCGGTATCTTTATGTCGAAGGTCTGTAAGAATAGAGAGAACATGTGTGTGCATAAATTTTATTTTAAGCATTCCGAAAATATATTATCTTATTTAATTTTTATTTAATTTTATTTAATTTTATTTATTTTATTTTTATTTTATTTTTATTTTATTTATTTTATTTTATTTTTATTTATATTTACTCATTCATTATCTTTCCGTTGGAATTTTTATTTTTATGGTTTATTGATAAAACGATAGGATATAAATATTTTTTTATATTTCTTGCGTGTCTTAAAATTTTCTCGTCATCTTGACTGATAAAAAATTCTTGAAAAATTAGGCAAAAATCCTCACACACTTTGTATAATGCTTTGAGCTTGAGAAATTGACAATCGTGGCTTCGTGTCATTCGTCGAGGCGGTCTTGACACTAATTCGGGCACATTATTAATTAGTCGCGTGGCGCGTCGCACTTTTTTTTCGGATTCTGACACTTACTCGAGGCACATAATAACGAAGAAACGTCGCCGACAATATGCCCACACATGTGCCCTCGCTCTTTGTCAACCCGGGACGGAATGTCACGCCTATCGTGAGTCGTGCAAATCCACGTTACGTGTAATTGCTATTTTACATCCGCCCTGATTACGAAACATCCAGCGAGGATAAGTAACGCTCTCGTGCTCCGATTGAAAAAAAAAAATAAAAATAATCGTGTCGTGATTTATTTATCCCTCCAGACGTTTCACAACTTTACACATTCTTGTGTTTGCACAACTGCCGCATTTGTGCGTAATCGAGTTTGCAGTCCCTATCTTTGATAATATCAGCGTCAGAAAGAGGAAAAACTTGGAGTAGATGTTGTTTACAGATTTCTACATCGAACGAACGGTACACTGAGGGAAAAATTTTTTTGAATCAAATAAATTTGTTTTCTCGAAACTTTTGCTCTAAATGGAAGGAATTGTTTATTTCATTTAAGCAAAAGCATTTAATTTTAATTAAATATGCATGTTAAGTACATTATTTTCATTTATATATTTTTTATATTTAAATACTATTTTCGTAAAATATGTACTATAATTTATTAAATTAAATATATTATTTTTTTAAATTAAAAAATTTAAAATTGTTGGGAATAAAAAATGCATTTTAATAAATATTTTGTAAAATTAAAAAAAAAATATTTAATTAAAAATTATATTTTTTTAAGTATATATATATTTTTAAACATATGTAAATAAATACTTAAGCAAACAGACGTTTTAAATACAAATAAATACGTGATTAGTACCCACCAAATAAATAGCTTTCTTGAGTTAACTAAAATTTTTTTATTTCAAGATAATTTTTCCCTCAGTGTAGGATTCGTAAAAGAAGTATCGTGCAGAAAAGCGCGGCAACAGCTTCTTGTTGATCATTTTAGCTACTTTTCCAAGCGATGCAAGACATCCTCGCATGCTCGGTCGAGCCAGCTGTTAATTCCTTTAATTATCGCCAGAAACTCCGTGGTAATTACACCGTTACACAATTAGCAAATGTACGCAGACATCGGGGATGCCCTCGAATTTGTACCTTCGCCGTTTCCCGGGAAATCCCATCGCAAGAATCTTTGATCAATCGTAATCAAACAGACTTAAAATGATAACGAGCAACGATCGATAAGGTTTATGATGTCAGTATCGTCCATGTTTAATCGATAAACATCGCATTTATATCTCATAACTTTTCCACGTGCAAAACTATATTTGGAAATAATTTAGAAATTATTAATTTAATAATTTAAATTAATATCAAATTGATATATCGTTCGAAATTTTGCATTTTTTAATTTTTTTAGATATATTATTTGTGTCTTACATATTTTATATATATATTTTTATATAAAATTTAAAATATATATAATATAAATAATATATAAACAATAAAATTATCTATAAATTTTGACGTCTTTTTTTTAATATTCTATCGAATCGTTAGTTTTTTAATTGTAATAAAATTGCAATAATCTAATCTCTTAACTCAACATTCCGAAATTTAAATTACCTTATCTTTCGAATTAAAATGCCAAGTAAATAAAGTAAACATAAGCACATTTTTTTACAGATTCTCAGGATGTCGATCTGGACGCGATTCTCGGTGAATTGTGCGCCTTGGAACGACGCTGCGACGGCGATATCGCCTCCACTCCTGCACCAGATACACAAAGGCCAGGACGACCTAACAGCGCGAGGATCAATCCGGGTGACAGCACTGACATCAAAAATGAAGGAGGTAAATACTTGAGACAAATTTTTCACAATTTTATATCATTTTCGCTAATATATAAAATCATATCTAAAAAATTATGTTATGTCTATATAATAATTATAATATATATTTATGGTTTATTTATGGTTGTTATACATTTGTTTATTATTTATATTTTATTTATATTAATATTTTATTTATATTAATATAAATTTATTTATATTAATGTTATATAAATTAATATAATATTAATATTATATTAATATTAATATTATATTTTATTTATATTAATATAATATATAAATATTAAATAAATGTTACATAAATATTATATAAATGTTATATAAATATTATATAAATATTATATATACTGCATTATTTTTGCGATGAAAATTTGTAATGCATTTTATCGTGCTCTTGTTAGGTATACGGACTGACAGCCCGGACAACGACAGCGCGTTCTCGGACACGGTGTCCATGTTGTCCAGCGAAAGTTCGGCGAGCAGCAGCGGTTCCGGACACAAGCCACCTCAGACCGCCATCCACGCGGCTCCTCAACAGCAGCCGCATCAACTTGTCGGTGGGTCTCTGCTTCATCCCTTAAAAAAAAACGCGAGATAATTTTTATTTCGCTACATTTCAATATTCCTCTCTTTCGCCACCTTCCAAAGGTACCTTCCCCGGGCGATTAAATTATTCTCGGAGAGGAAATCATATTTTCACGACGGTATATTATATTTGCACAGATGCGATATGCGTGTTCTTATCGTTGCAGATGCAGCGAGCAGAGCGAAGGCGGAGAAGATCCGGCTGGCGCTGGAGAAGATGCGCGAGGCGAGCGTGCAAAAGCTCTTCATCAAGGCGTTCACGTTGGACGGGAGCGGCAAGAGCCTCCTGGTCGACGAAGGGATGAGCGTCGCGCACGTGTGTAGGTTGCTGGCGGACAAAAACCATGTGCCGATGGATCCGAAATGGGCGGTGGTCGAACATCTGCCCGACCTCTTCATGGGTGAGTTTATCGCCTTTTTCATTCTCCGTGACGCTGCAACATTTATTCACGACGTTAGTCTTTAATAAGATCTGATCTCAATTTCAAATATTTCGTCGGCATTTGATGTATATGTTTTTTTCTTTTTTTGGTATTTTTGTATGATACTTTGAAAATTCGTATAATTATGTACACAATTATATGTCATATTAATTGTATTATATGTTAATGTATTAATTATATTATTATATATAATATTTAAAAAATATATATATGCATATATATTATATTATAATATTTTAAAATAGATATGTAATAAAAAAGAGTACACAAATATATTTCTGAGATCAAATTATACTAAAGAATAATATGTCTGTATTTTTGATGTCAATTAATATAATAATACACAGTTTCTATTTAATGTTTGCTTTTTTCCCATCATATTGGAATTTTGCCGAAAATATTTATAATATATTATTATTATAATTTCCTAAAATATTTATAATATATTTTATAATATAAATTTAAAATATTAATTTTAATATTTATTTATTTTAATTATAATATTAATTATAATATTAATTATAATTAATTTAAATTATTAAATATTTAGAATATATTTTATTATTATAATGACAAAATTCAGGAAGATTATTAGAATAAATAATGAATGTTTCAGAGAGAGTTTACGAGGACCACGAGTTATTGGTGGAGAATCTTCTACTATGGACCAGAGATTCCAAGAACAAACTGCTCTTCGTCGAGAGACCGGATAAGACGCAGCTATTTCTCACGCCCGAGCGATTCCTTCTCGGTCCCTCGGATCGCGGCGGCGGCGAATACGACGATCACTCGAGAAATATTCTACTGGAGGAGTTCTTCTCGAGCAGCAACGTCGGCGTTCCCGAGGTAGGAGGCGACGTATTTTACGATCCTCTCGTATCTTGGCAATCCCGAGACCGAGCGACGTGTATATATTCTGATAACGAATTCATGCTGGCACACATTCCGTTGGCTCCTCTTCTGTATCGATTGCCCGATTTGCTTCTAGGTCGAGGGTCCACTGTACTTGAAGTCGGATAGCAAGAAGGGCTGGAAGAGGTATCACTTTATTCTGCGAGCCTCCGGTCTTTATTACTGGCCAAAGGAAAAGGCCCGCACCGCCCGAGATCTCGTTTGTCTTGCAACATTCGATGTTAATCAAGTTAGTAACGTTACATGTGTTTTACTTCCCTCATTCCTTGTGTAAGAAAATGTCTCAACAATTGTATGTGTGTGTGTTGTATCTTTCCTATAATATATTCACAGAAAAAAAATAAGTGTCAAATCAAAACTTATATATTATACTTAAACTAACCCGTTCGTTGTTTCGTATATACGCAACAATATATAACCTTCTTGAAAGAATTTAATAATTTTAAATTTCAACAATATTATAGTCTTATTTTAATATTGCAATTGTCACCTCAAGAATATATAATTACTTAATTCTATTTTAAGAAAATTATAATCTTTGATTTAAAAATTCAAGCAATTATATTTTTCTTTAATTAACGCAATATAATCTCATTTCAAAATTTCCACGTTAAAAACTAAATATATTTTCAAAACAATAATATCCTTTTTTCCTGTGTTTTAAGACTTTGATCAGATATCTTTTCTTTTCATCGTTTCATATAAAAGTTGATCTTTTTATAGAGAATAGTATTGTACAATTTATTGTTATTAAACTAGGTTTACTACGGCGTTGGTTGGCGAAAGAAATACAAGGCGCCCACGGATTTCTGCTTTGCTGTCAAACACCCGCGACTGCAGCAGCCAAAATCCACCAAATACATCAAGTTCCTCTGCGCGGAGGATAACGCTTCCTTGGAGCGATGGATGGTCGGCATCCGGGTGGCCAAATATGGCAGGCAACTGATGGAGAACTATCGGGCGCTGGTGGATGAACTGGCGCAGGAAGATTTGGATCTATTGGCACATGCCAGATCGTGTTCCGTTAGCTCCATTGCTACGCCGCCGAATCAGACTCAATATAACACGACAAACGATAACGCGAGGCAGTTCACGGAGATTGTAAGACAGCACAGCAACGATGCAACAGTCGTCGTCGCGACAAGACAGTACGATGGTAGCCAAAGGCAGAGCTACAACAATCCGGAACAACGACAGAGCTATAACAATGATGGCAGACTGAGCAGAGCGAGTAGCTCCAGCTCCAGCGGGTGTTTGTCTGATGGGGCGCCGAGTAGCTGTGAGGTGAGCACTTTGATTGACGCGATATTGAAAGAAGTCTATGAAAGTAATTGTTTTTCTTCTATGCTGCTTCTGCATCTCACAAAATAGTCACATGTACAATTGCCTGTTTCTAATATAATCGTTTTTATTAATTACATTGATAGGTAGCCTTTGAATGCGGCGAGTTTCCAACTGGCACGATAAAGCGGAAGCCATCTATGAATCCAAAGTTGCCCCTTACGTCGATCACAAGGCAATTGAAGGAGGTCGGCGAGACAGTGCGGGACGAACCGGACTCCTGTCCGAGCCCGACGAGCTCGGGATCCGGTACGTTGACGAGAAGACATAGTCGCCGGCGAAGCGGCACTGATTCCGACGGATCTGGAACTCTAAAGAGACACCATAGATCTGGAAATGCGACGCCAGTCAGTCCAGTACCACCTGGCACGCCGGTCAGAGAAAGAACGAGCCCTATGGGATACAGCAGATCAGAGAGTCAAGAATCCAAGACACCGACGAGTCCAATGCAAGCATGCATGGTAAGTATATTAACGTAATTTCTACAGGGTATTTCAGATCACCCGTACCACCCATTTAAAAACTAGAAAAGTGATTATTTCAAAAAAGTAAAAATTTTTTTAAATGGAACCCCCTATTTTTCATTGCATATTCTTGTAGCTTACCTCGAGAGCTTTCCAAAACACTATAATAAATTATTTTTTCATAAAGTACTTTTCGAGTTATGAAGCTTGAAATAATTTCTTAATTTTACATAAACCATAAAATATTTTGTAAAATATTCATTTTTCGATTATCTTATGTTAATACTTTTATGTACAAAATAATGAGAGGAATCAATTGGTGTAAAGAAAACATACAGTTGTTTCTAAGAAAAAAATATGTAATTTGCAATTAACAAGTCCATATTTTTTCTTAAAAACAACTGTATGTTTTCTTTACACCAATTGATTTCTCTTATTATTTTTTACATAAAAGTATTAAGGTAAGATAATCGAAAAATGAATATTTTACAAGATATTTTATGGTTTATGTAAAATTAAGAAATGATTTCAATCCTCATAACTCGAAAAGTACTTCATGGAAAAATAATTTATTATAGTGTTTTGGAAAGCTCTCGAGGTAAGCTACAAGAATATGCAATGAAAAATAGGGGATTCCATGTAAAAAAATGCACTTCCGGTTTGAATCGCCTATTTTCGGCCAGAGCCAGAAGTTGAAAATATCACCATTCAATAGAGCGCACCCAGTTTATAAAGAAAATGTTTTTACTTTTTTGAAATAACCACTTCTCTAGTTTTTAAATGGGTGGTATGGGTGGTCTGAAACGTATTAACAAATTTTTGATACATGTAACCTCTTTATTTGACTATAATCTTGAAAAGAAAAGAGATAAAAATATTCCATGTCTCTGAGAAACGAATTTTTTCGCAGATGGATTCAATCACCTCGCTGCCACCGCCACCGTCGCCATCGAGAGTCGTTGAGGAAGTCGAATCCGACAATGAGCCGCTTCCGCCGCCGCCACCTGAAATGTTCCGCTCGAATCTTTCGCTGGATTCTCTGCCGCCGCCGCCGGCGCCCGGCGAGCTTCCGGTTTGTAACACGCCGGAACTCACGGGCTCGTCGTTGAGTCTTGTGTCACTACCGCCACCGCCTAGTCCGCTGGTCGGCGAAACTGGAACGATACGTCGCGCCAGACCTAAACAGTCCACTCCCACGAACTCTATAACCCCCGAGAACACTCCTACGCACAATCCCAGGTCGCAGTCCAATCAGATGTACGTGAATGCGAACAGTATCGCGCTCAACAGCAACTCAGTCCAAAACAGTCAGAATTACAACTCGAATACGGCGACCCACAACACGAACAGTACCGCCAATTCCGTATCCTCCCCGCATAGTTCCTATCCGGGATCGACAGCGAGCACGCCGACTTATACTCCGAGTTCACCCAGCTTTGCATCGCCACCACCGTTTGTGCCGCCGCCGGCTTACGGCTCCCAGCACGTCAACTCCCAGAGCCTGCCAAGCAGGAAAGTCGAATCGATGTACGCGAGTCATCAGCCCAACCACAACACGATTCAGCCCATCAGGCCGAATCCCAACATGGACACTGTTCGACGTAGCGCCATGAAGCAAGGTAGCAGCCATTATGCAGCGCCACCGTACCTGGCCGAGCTGAAAGCCGCCTCCAGTCCCCAGCCGCAGCGTCGAGTGACCATTCAGGAACCACCGACGTCGCCCAAGTCGAAGACCGGCACCGGCAAGAAGATCACGTTCAACCTGCCACCTCAACAGGAACCCAGTAGTCCTGCCTTGCCGCAACGGAAGCCGACGCCACCCAGAAGATCCGACAGCACCAGGCTCACGTCGCCCAAGAAACTCGCGGCGTCCGATCAAGCCCCGCCGGGTGATTTCCTGAAGGACCTCCAACGAGTGATGAGGAAGAAATGGCAGGTCGCGCAAAAGTGCAAGTTGGACTCGACGACGACGCCGCACGAGGTGCTCGGCTTCCGAGATCCGCCTCCTGCTGTGGCTGACTACAGGGAGACCAATGTGTCCAACTGGGTGCAGGAGCACTATGGCGCGGACAATCTTTACGAGAACGTTTACGCGACGGATCCCCACGCACCGGTTGAATACGCGTCCAGTCCAGCCCGGCAACCGACGGTGAGGTTCGCGGACGAGAATCGCAGTATGAACATCGTCAACGCGATCGCTGGTAAAAGAAGACCGCCGCCGCCGCCGCCCAAACGGGCCGAGACTACGCATCTCACCACCACCAGGGCGATGCACTGACAATAGCAGATAATCCAGCCCCATCCCGAGAGGCGATGGTACTGCTGTCTCTGCAGCTGGTGGAAGGAGTAAGACGAGGAACGTCTTGGCAATGATTTCATCCGTTCTTCCGGGATGCCGGGTATATATCGAATTCATTCGTTCCACCTTGCTGTTCAGAGAATCGGAGATGAGAAGAGGAAGGCTTCTCCAGTAAAGGAAAGGTTGTATTCACTTTGTTGCTGGACTGATGATCCTTGGGAGAATGATAAGTTGAAGAAGAGAAGATATTGTTCGGATACGAAAATTCAAAAGAGAATATTTATGAATTTCATTCTGAAGATTATGTTACACATATACAGTTTGAAAACAACTGTTTTGCTAGAAGAATTTATACGAATATTGTCAATCGGAAGAAGACACTCAAATGATCAGTAATTGCGACAAGTTTGAAGGTGTCTTGATGGATCACAAGGGGATGAATATCGATGAACCGTCCTTTCCGGAAGATCTCCTGAAGCTATACAGCAGAACTGCCGTTTCGAAGCTAATGTAAATGCTCTTTCGAGCCAAGCAACGAATTGAATAAACTCGAGTCCACGACAGAGATTCGATCGACATACAAGGAATATATACTGCCACACATACAGAGGATGTGATATAACTCGTAAGCCCATGTCCCCGGGATCCAAGGATCGCGCAGGGAAGAAGCTATAAAAAGAAAACAGCAACGCGACAGAACGCACAATGCGCGAATTGATGGCGATTTCATGCAGAATCGTTCATGAGTTCTTTTTATTGCGCATATTTCATAACCGCTAACTGCCTCTGCGTCTGCGATTCTCTCAAGTATACTTGGATGTGTGATAAATATTATAAAGTAAAAGAAGTAATCTAAATATATAAAAGAAGTAATCTATATATGCGGATAAATATCCTCAAGTTTGACCTTTCAAGTCGGTCGTCAATACAATTGATCGGCCGACATCTAATTTAATATTAATTTATCCAAATTTAATATTTGTGTTCTTCAAGAATGTAGCGAAAAATATTTTATAATGCGCGTATTATAATCTCTGATATCATTTTCTCGAAAAGAAGAGAATATAGAGGGTGTATATTCTTAAATAGCTCCCACTAAGCAAATAGCGTATTCTTGATTAAAAACCGAGTTGAAAAGTCCTGAACCAATTTTTGTCCAAGATTCATTAAGGATGTATTGGAGATATATTACAATCAATGAGATCGCCGTGAATTTTTAATTTAACATTCTTAATAACATTCTAAATCGTCATGAATTATTTCAAATTTTTTTACTTGCTCCTTTAAAAGTTATTAATTTTTGAATTTTGCGATTTTAACATAGCATCTTATGTAAACGTTCAAGAGACAGGTAATAAATTATTCACAAACTATAAAAAAACAATGATAAAAATTTCATTTTGTAATATTATATTCTTCATACATGTAAAAATGTTCCCACAAAGTTTTAAAACGATTTACTTGCTCGTTTTGAAATTATTATTAAAAAAATAACTGTGATTATCAGTTTGACGCAATATTGATGATAAAATGTGGCAACATTTTCTTGGAAATTAAGACCTATTTATATTAAAGAATACTTTGAAGTATGATTTCGTGATTTTTAAAAAATTTTTGATCAATTAGAATTCGTATTCTGCCCAACTTTAATTTTTTGGTACTTTGGATTAACTTTTGAGATAGACGGTCCGTCCAATACATCCTTAAATAATTAATCAGATTTAAGTATTAAAAAGATTTCTGAAAAGATGAATTGTTTAAATTAACACAAAACAGTTTATTTTTTTGCTTATCCAAATCTCCATGTGTTGATAACGAGGAACTGCTACTGCTTTATTAAGCATTATAGAAAAGAATGGTTCAGGATTTTTCGACTCGATTTTTAATCAGGAATAACGCTATTTGCTTAGTAGGAACTTTTTAAGATACACCCTGTATATATGTATTTTGTTTTTCATTTCACAAGTCTTTGTTCGCTGTTTTTTTGTTTTGAGATAAAGATTTTGGTTGAAAAAAATTCAAATTATATTGCCCCAAAGATTACGATAACGACAGGAATATATAATTATATTCTATAATGTGTAAACTGCAATGCGCTCAGAGGGAACGTCGAAGTGGAATTGATCTCACTTTGGAACAGATCTCCTCGATTGTTTTTTTTTTCCAAGCGAGAGTGTTTTTATGACGAAAATAAAAGAAGGAATATACAGAGTGTGCCTAAAACTATGTCGGAGATTTTAAGGGCGTATTCTAGGGTTTAAAATAACATGAAAAGCTCATATAAACATGAGTCGAAAAATACTTTTCCTCCAAACTATAGCCCCCTAAAGTTGAGGGAAAAAATCGAAAAATGTATTGTAACTCTCGAAGACTTTTTCATAGAACGTTAAAGTTTTGCACAGCGTAATTAATAATGAGCTACATTTTTATGTGGTTTTGACAATTTTTTCCCTCAACTTTAGAGGGCTATAACTCGGAGGAAAAGCATTTTTGGACCCATGTTTATATGAACTTTTATTTTAACCCCTAGAATACGCCATTAAAATCTCCGACATAGTTTTAGAAACACCCTGTACGAGAGATCAACTTGGTCGGACTCCTTCTTCATGCAACTATACGTCTATTGCGATCACATCCCTTGTGCATAGGTATATATGTATATAAACTGAGCATATACGCGACCATTTACATCGGTATATCGACTTGATGTGCTGTACGTGTAGTTGTATCATACGATTCAGACACGACGGTTCGTCGATTGTATCCGACTAGAATAACATAACGATGACCTTTCTCTCGCTCATCATCGGAGACTCGAGGTCCCGTTTAATCGGAGTAAAACTGCGAGACGTCGCTCCAGGTGAAGAACGAAAAATGAGAGAGATTCTCCGATAATGATCGATTACCTGGAGCTTCTGGAGTCTAGATAAAATGAGTACTACTTTGGATACCTTGAGTAGAGCTGCCAAGAGGAACGTTGCGCGTATTATTTATCCGTATATTTGCTTGGCTCGTTCATCCTGGTGGTTTTATTTCTCACACCGAGTATCCAACTCCTAGAATTCAACTTGGAATGTCGCGGTCCAGGTGTGCGTGCGATCGTCTCACGTCGCCGATCGAAGGGAAAAATGGAGATACGCGTTGAACGCGTGCGTTCGTCAAGATCATCGCGCTACAGCCAACGATGAGGAACAATACCGTGCGTTTGTGATCACCGATGGAACCTTCGGCAACGACTTAGCCGAGCCTTTCCGAGGTCACGTAGCTGATGTAGTTTTATATCTCGATTTGTATCGCGTTTTTCGCGCTTTTCGAACCACCCACGCGAAGGTTTCATCACCTTTCTCGATTTTTACCAAGAGCATCTGTATCGTCAAGTTTTTTATACGTGTAAAAATTGGAAGCCGCTCGAGAGAGCCCGTTCGTGTGCGAGATGATCGATCCGTAGAAAGTATTTTATAAGATCGAATCTTTTTGATACGCAGAAATATTTCGCCGTAGAATATGTAGAAGAAAATTCACGTCTTTGTGAAGACGGTCTGTCGAGACTGGCCGACATTTTCGGGCCGAGACAGGTCGTTTCCGATTTTCCCAAGTCTTGTTCGCGATATTTCCTACACTGAGGGAAAAATTTTTTAAATCAAATAAATTTGTTTTCTTGAAACTTTTGCTTTAAATGCAAGGCATTATTTCATTTAAGCAAAAATATTTAATTTTAATTAAATATGCATGTTATATTAAGCACATTATTTTCATTTATATATTTTTTATATTTAAATACTATTTTCGTAAAATATATACTATAATTTATTAAATTAAATATATCATTTTTTAAAATTAAAAAATTTAAAATTTTTGGGAATAAAAAATGCATTTTAATAAATATTTTGTAAAATTAAAATAAAAATATTTAATTAAAAATTATATATTTTTTTTAAACATATGTAAATAAATACTTAACTTAAGCAAACAGATGTTTTGAATACAAGTAAATACGTGCCCACCGAATAGCTTTCTTGAGTTAACTAAAATTTTTTTATTCCAAGATAATTTTTCCCTCAGTGTACGATTAAAATCATAAAGCTGCGTGCGAGATGCTTGATTATTGGGATTGGCTTTTTCGAAAATGAGATATTTGCGCGCGAGGCTCTTTCCAATTTTCTATATATGTAAAAAAAAAGGTGTGTCTGGGCGCGAGGACTCTTTCCGATTTTATAAAGTATTTACACCGTATATATTTATACACCGCGACCGGATTTTCAGCACTTTCTTCACGCTGTGCCTGAAGCGCGAGGACTTTTCCACTCTTCAAGGAGATTCCCGCACCGATCCCGCTCTCTCGAGTGACTGTAACGCAATCGAATTACTTAATAACGATAGCTAAAGGCTAACTTTAAAGCGAAACCGATATGTGTGTCGATTTAATTGTACCTCCCCGCGCATATTTACGCGCGGGTTTAATCAAACTGAACCAATAATATATATAAATGCATTTTTGAGACTAATATACCGAGAGATTTTACTAAGCCTGAATACAGGACGAGGGTGACTTTTCATGTACGAAATTTGCGAGGATATTTTCCCTTTCAACGAGTACGACATCGGTTCTCCCGCTTGGAATCCGCGAAATCTTTCCCCTCTCGGAAGGATTTCAAGATTTCGTCTTCAGTATGTTTACAGTTTTTGTTTTAATCATTCTGATATAAAATTTTAATTTTTTATTAATTGTTTACTATCCATTTTTTGACATAGTTTTTGACTTTGTTCTTGCGCTGCGATTTATTCTCTAAGCGAACTGATACGGGACTCGTTGAAAATGCTGGCGTGCTGAGACACTTCTTCTGTCAGGTACACTCCTTAAAGGAACTTTCGCATTCTGAGAAGGTAGCTCTTAATATTCGATGATGTACACGTGCTGCCCGTCGCTTAATTTTAGAACGAAAGGGTCAGTCGTTTTCTCATTCGTTTCGAAATTCGCGATTGAAGCTCTCGAGATGAGTGCAATTGGCTTTTAGGGGTAGAGGCTGAGATTAGGGACTTGTGGAGAACGAAATCGAGAAATCAAGCGTGATATTTTATACCGATTGCTAACAGGAATAATAATATCTTGATTGATTGTATTTTTTCATAGCCGATAAATCGACTTGTTAATTAAAAAAAAAATATCTATCTTATTTAATTAGAACAACTTCTACGAGCAAAAGTTTAAGAGACAAATATTTAAAGAAGCATTGTATTTTTATTTTTTTCGAGAATAAGGATGAAGAGAGGTAGTCCCTGGGTTATATTGTATCGTACCTTTTTCGATTTATATAATCTAAGTTGTACGTATAGTTCTGTAAATATTTGTAATACGAATGGTACTACGAGGGCAGAAATTGTTGTCGGCAACGATATAAACGCATTTACGTTATTTAGGATGAAAAGGGGAGAAGAGCGATGAATCTTTGGAGATTTTGACTCTTCTTACGCACGTTTGGAGTTTTCAATTAATCGTTTAGGGATCGCTTCTCGATCAATTATCGCGAGGACGCTGCGTTTGCATCGCAAAAATCGATTCGATGTAGCTTATAACACTTAGACCTTAGATGATTGCAGGTTGTTTCGGATACATTCT